TGGAGACTTTGACATGTGACTTCTGGAGGAAGTCTCGTACGAAACGCTCGTCGCGTGACTTTTGGAGGAAGTCTCGCACGAAACGCTCGTTTTGGAGGAGTGAAACACTCGTTTTGCAGGCTCGATGTGTGAGTTTTTGAGGGGGTGACGCGCGAAACTCATGTTCAGGAGACATGACGGTTGACTTTTGGGGACTTTAGTAGCAGTGACCCGCAAGGGTGTCCCACAAGAGTGTCCTACAGGAGTGTCCCACGAGAGTGTTCCACAAAAGTGACAAACAAGAGTGTCCCACAAGAGCGTTCTGCAAGGGTGCCCCGCCAGAATGTTTTGCAAGAGTATCCTACAAATGTGCCCCCATACAAGAGTGCCCCACCAGAGTGTCCTACAAGAGTGCCCCGCACGAGTGTCCCGCAACGGTGTCCTACAAGACGTTCCCACAAGAGTGTCGTGCAAGAGTGTCCCACAAGAGTGTCATATAAGAGTGTCCCACAAGAGAGTCCTACAAGACAGTTCCGCAAGAGTGCCCGACAAGAGTTTCCTATGAGAGTGCCCCACAAGAGTGACACTCAAAAGTGTCCGACAAGAGTGTCCTACCAGACTGTTTCACAGGAGTGTCCTACAAGAGTGTCGCGCAAGAGTGACAAACAGCAGTTTCCCACAAGAGAGTCCCGCAAGGGTGTCCCACAAGAATGTCCGACAGGAGTGTCCTACAAAAGTTCCCCACACGAGTGTCCTACAAGAGTGTCCCACAAGAGTGCCCCCAAAGAGTTCCCTACAAGAGTGTCCCATAAGAGTGCCCCACAAGACTTTCCCACTAGAGTGTCGTACAAGAGCTTTCCGTAAGGGACTCCCACTAGAGTGTCACAAGAGTGCCCTACACGAGTGTCCTACAAGAGTGACATTTTCTAGTATCCCACAAGAATGTCCGACAAGAGTGTCCTACAAGAGTGCCCCACTATAGTGTGCTACAAGGGTGTCCCACAAGAGTGTTCGCAAGAGTGTCCCACAAGAGTGTCACATAAGAGTGTTCCACAAGAGAGTCCTACAAGACAGTTCTGCAAGAGTGCCCCAGAAGAGTGTCCGAAAAGGGATTTGGTCAGGTGTTTATGTTCAGCAGGCACATGTCGCAAATGCTTATGTGCACAGAAGTCGCTTAAGAATCTTGTGCGCGAAGATCGATTATTGCACCCCCCTCTGTTAATGGATAAAGTTCGGCACGTGTAACCATTCAAACGGTTCAAATGTGTTTGCATTCGAGTTCGCGGGTTCCATCTTGTTTGTTTACAGCGCCTTGACAAAGCCAACGAATATCAGCCTAGCAGAGAATAGATTTCTTGTGTTAGTCAGTCAATTCTATTTAACCCCGCGATTCCTTTTTTGCACTTTGTAGATTTGGAAGCTCCGAACTCCACGGCTCAAAGCAAAATGAATGAGAAAGGTTTGTTCGATATGTGGAGCAGTGATTCTTGGAGGGGGTTGCCTGGCCTGTTCCCAAGAAGAAAGCCGAAACTAGCCTTGGCGCAGCAATTGTGCCGGAGCCCTGAGGTCAAGTCCACCCCAACCATCAGCAGTGCGTCCGCGCTTCAGGGCCCAGTCCGTCCAATCCAGCGAGACACACATCACGCCCGCACGCGCTGTTCAGTCATGTCACTGGGCTGGGGTTGCGTTTTGATTGAACACATTGTGTTTGCTCCGTAGTTCTCACGCCAAGAGTACTTTCTAGATTTCCTCGAAAACAGCAAGTCCTCCCTGAAAAGAACATGGCCCGTGAGTGGCGCGTGAACAGCTCGCAGTAGCAAGGCGTTCTACTCCTGCGCCATTTGGCGCAATGAGCATGAACTTGTTCTTATTTCTGACAAATGTATACAAACGAGGCCATCCTTTCCTGTCCGCCCTGCGCCCAAAAACCCAACAACTATATATATATTCAAGACATCAAAATACATAGCAAAACTGGTGCCTCCACAGTGTACCGTTCTCGCGGGAAAAAGAAGAAAAAATGGTTTACGAGTCAGACGTCAAACCCCACCAACTCATGCCCTGCCCAGGAGTGCTGGCTGCAAGCACCACTGCGGCTTGTTCGCGGTCTGGCGCTGCCCCTGCCAAAGCCCAGCAGACGTCCAGGCAGGGAGGCCCCAGCAGGTGCGCAATTGTACATTGCCGCATTTTGCACCAAGCTCGTTCCTTCCTTCCTTCCTTCCTTCCTTCCTGCCTTGCTTGCTGGCTGGCTGGCTGTCTTGCTTGCCTGCTTGCTTGCTTCCCTCTTTGCTTTCTTGCTTCTGTGCTTCCTTGCTTGCTTTTTTTTCGTTTCTTCCTTATTTCCTCGCGGCCCCCTGTCAAGTCGTGAGATTGGTTTCAACGCGCACCATAATCACGCATAGTGGATCACCAACTGTTGGCCCACTAACTACAGACTAGGTGGCGCGTGACCATTTTCGTGTTGACCTCTTCAGGGTAAGCCTTGTGTGTGAAACCAGTCATCTTCTCTGTAAGAAGCGCCGTCTATATATTCGAAGGGAAGTTTAGTGTACGAAACTTCCGTGTTACAGACGTTCAAGAACTGTTCATCCACTCATCAATACACCACTCATCATACACCGCTCATCATACACCACTCATCAATACACCACTCATCATGATATACGCCACTCATCAATATACACCGCTCATCAATACACCACTCATCATACACCACTCATCATACACCACTCATCATACACCACTCAACATACACCACTCATCGTCCAGTTTGCTCTAGTTGCAAGAGCTCTAGCTCCAGGTACCTCTGTTTTCAATAGCTCTAGCTCCAGGTAGCTCTAGTTTTAAGAGCTCTAGCTCCAGATTACGTGGCAGGTGCAGCGCTTTGTGAACCTCCATGCGCAGAGTTCGTTGCAGGCACAGCGCTTTGTGAACCTCGATGTGCAGATTGCGTGGCAGGCGCAGTACTTTGTGAACCT